TAACAGTTGGAAGGGACCTTGTAGATCATCTAGCCCAACCCCCCCTGCCCAAGAGATAGATAGATAGAGAGAGAGATCGTAGAATCCTAGGGCTGGAAGGCACGTTGGTGGTCATCTAGTCCAACCCCTTGTCCAAGGCAACAGTCCTTATGCCATTCTGGACAAATGCTCATCCAATCCTTTTGACAGAGCACCCGCCGTTCTAGGAGCCAAGCCGTTCCACTGGTTTCCCCCATTAATTTTTATTTTTTTTACCCCAGAAGAGAAACCTCCCTTTGTGAGGATCTTAAACCAGGGCTGGAGCGGGGGTGGGGGGGTGGGGGGATTTTGCGTCACTCACTCAGCCTCCTTCCCTGCGTCAAGAGAGGGCTCCCACGTGGCCTCCCCCTCCCCACCTCTCTCCTTCCCTGCTCTTAACCAGAAGTGACTTGGCCTGATTTGCAGGATATACGAATACCAACGCACACACACACACACACACACACACACACACAAAGAAGGTGCAGTGAGGGATGAAGTCACAAGCTCTTTAAGGACACGAGACTAGAAGTGCGCTAGCCTGCTCTAAAATAATCCATGTCCTCGCGTAGAAGAAGAGGAGGGGGAAAGCGGTGGCCAGCCCTAGAGATGGCATACCCCAGGCCGTGGCCTCTTGCACATTTGCGCGTCCTGGGAAGTGTCCAGTATGTGCTACCTCGCCTCTGCCCACGGCCCCGTCTTGTGGGCCCAGCCTGGCAGAGACAACGACACACCATCAGTGCTGAAAAGCATCCCAGGCAGGCTTGAATTTCTCCCTTCGTTGTGGGGCGGGGGGAGGGGGGGGAACAAACGCACACACCCAATTTTGGTGCATGAAACCTGGTTTCAAACCCAAGACAGCAGCACCACCTTTTAATGTTTCACGTATGAATCCTAAAAGGCTGCTTCCAACTAATTAGCTCCGACAAGAAAGAGCCTTGCCAAGTTTTGGCGAGGCTGCCCAAAAACAACAGATAAGAAATAGTTCACAACACAAAAGAGAGTCTTCAAATACCAACTGGAATGTCCACGAGGCTGAGTTTCAAAACGTCTTTGCTTCCTGCAAAGAAGGTTCGCTTCACAGCTGGCTTTTATCTTCGTGAAGGAGGGGCCATTACCTTGCAGCCTTACTCCCGAGTTGCCTGTGCTGTTGTAGCTGCTCTTTCCTGCAAGCAACCCTGCACGCACTTGGCACAGGCTCCTCGGGAACCTCCTCATCACTGCTGCCAGCCCCCACAATCTCTGAAGGCAGCAGTCCACTCCCTGGTGGTCCTGGCCCCTCACCTGAGTCTTCGCTCTCCTCAGCCGTCTGCACCTGCTGCCAGCTAACCACACCAGTGCAAGAGATTTTGTGCCAGAGGCCAGTTGTTCCTTGCACACTCCTGCAAACGTGACCAGGCCGTCGTGTGAAAAAGCCTTATTCCATCCAATGGGGGGTGGGGGAAATATTTTTAGATAACACCCTGCAGATTGGAGAGAATTCAATTTTGGAACCAGCCGGCTGATCTTATCCATCTTTTTAAAACCGCTCGGTTCCTTTAAACACAAACAAATAAATAAACAAACAAAGTGGATTATGTTTCTTTGCAACCTAAAAATCGAGGAAAGCTAGAAAGTTTCTTTGCAATGTAAAAATAGAGGAAAGCTAGAAAAAAAATCAGGAAGAAAAAGTAATAAAGGGAGAGACGAATTTATTATTATTATTTTTTCATTTGTTGGTTCAACAAATTTATTATTATTATTTTTTCATTTGTTGGTTCAATTTATATGCCATCTATCTTGCCAAGAGGCGACTCTAGGCAGCTTACATAGTAGTCCTCCCCATTTAGTGGCTCTTCAAAGTTACAACGGCAGTGAAAACGACTATTGCTGCGTTTCAACAGGGAAGCCAGATTCACTTAACAACCGGGTGACTAACTTAACGTTGGTTCGTTAAAAAACTATGTGGTTGGGCTTAGTTTTTGAGGAGAAAAATAAGAAGGAAAAATTCTGCCTCTCAGCTCTGGCTAGTGTCCTGTCAGTGTGTGAGAGAGTTGAGGGCTGTTTGGAAACCGAAACAGTATTTGCTGTGTAAGCAAGAAGGAGACAGCAAGGAGCCCAGGCGTGGCTTAGCTCAACTGTTCTGGACTAAAGCTGGTTGGCTGCTGTGAAACTGAAACTCCTCTGCTTGTGTTTTGCATTTGGAAGAGATTTCTTTCCAGGTGGAGAAGGGGAGTAGAACTCCTTAGCATCAGAGCGCGTTAATACTGTTAATAATATAGGAGGGTCATTTTGAAGAATTCTTTCTTAGGGAGCCCCTAGAAGCCAAGCGGAACATACATGCCAAATTTCAAATTTGTAGGTTTGATGGTTCTGGAGATCTCGTGATGATGCGTGAGGGGCATTTCGCTTTTATTTAGATATATCTGAATTCCTACTAGGATAAATTCATTTTTCCATCCAGGTTTCAAAAGAAAAATTTGCATCCTGGTTCTTTAAGCCAGTGGTCGTCAACCAGTGCGACAAATTTCACAAAGACTCACTTCTGGCAGAGTTTGGGAGAGAGAAAAAGAAAGAATTGTGCGGCTTCTGCTGCTTTCCTTGCATGAAGCCAAAAGTCTCTCTCTCTCTCTCCCTCCCCCTGAGAATGGAGACGGTATCCTGCGATCCCAAATAAAGAATGATTAATCACTAGGAAAACGGGGTGGGGAATTTTCCTGCAGAGCTTTTTTGGGGGAATTTTCCCAGGGTCTCTGGTCTTCAGGATTTAAAATGATGAGTTTGGTGGTCCCTGAGGTCCAAAAGGTTGGTGACCCCTGCTTTAAGTGACTAAATAATATATATATGTATTAATCAGTCTATTGGATTCATTATTAACTGCATTTAGAGAAATGCAAACATTTGGCTATCTTACCAAGAAGTAATTGCAATTTATTTATTAGGTTAATTATATTGGTATATATTAATTATATTGGTATATATTGTCTGAGCAGGGGGTTGGACTAGAAGATCTCAAAGGTCCCTTCCAACTCTGTTATGCTATGTTTTTTGTTTGATGTTCTACGTCAGTTGCTCCTGCTGGATTCCATGAATTTGGGTGAGGGCCAACCAAGGAATCCCCGCCAGCTGCCCGTCCTTTCATCTATTTTTCATGTTAGTGGCTAGAAAAAGGTGATTGTATGTCGCCTCCCTTTTCAAGGTGGAAATCTAACATCTGCGATTTCCCAACTGTGACTGTGTAACCAGAATCCGGAACCTGGTAAATATTTGATGGCTCATCTCTATAAGAGAGACGTAAGGAGAGCGACTGGATTATTTTCATCAATGACAAGAAAGGTTGGAAAGGAAATGAATAGAATGGAATAGAATAGAATAGAATAGAATAGAATAGAATAGAATAGAATAGAATAGAATAGAATAG